TGTAGCTCTTGTTTCATTGGTGTTACATTTGATAACTGCCCAACATTGTGATTGACCAAAGGAGTTATTATTCCATTGCAGAAAATTTTTGATAATATCATTAATAGAGACATACCATGGCCCAAGATACCAGACGAGATGAGTTATGAAGCCCATGATTTGATTGACAAGTAAGATTCATTGAAACCTTTTCTGTAATAACAGCATATCAAAATTTACAGTTTTCAGTTTATTTGCTGCCTCAAATGGTTGTTTGATTTTATCTTCTATTTTTTTAACCAGAAACCAAACTTTTCATTAATGAATGAAAAACTAATAGAGAATACAAGAATTCAAAGTCTACTAAGTGTAGACTAATAAAAATAAAATGAAAAAAGAAAGAGGGAAAGTAAAGATAAACCTTAACAAAAAGCCTCCCAATCATTACAAATACTATTACGAGAATAATCATAGAAAACTTTAGATAAGGAATACTAATGAGAAGTTTTGATCTTGATGAATTGAAAATGATATAGAAAATTCTTTGGTTTCTTTCCAAATAAAACTGCGAAAGAATTGTTTTATAAGTATTATGTTATCCATGAACGCCAATGCACTATGTTTCAGATTGCTGACTGAAAATTCTGTTCAAAGACTGGGAGCTACTGGAGCCGGAGAGGTAATTGTATAATTCCTTGCAAAAAACAATAGTTTTGCTAGGTAATTATGATTTATTAAACGAAACGATATATTGGAACTGTTTTCTTCTGTCAGGTGAAGCAGCATCTTTTCTTCAAAGATATTAACTGGGATACACTTGCAAGGCAGAAGGTATTCATCATTGTTGCACGAAAGAATTGGTTGACCTAATTCTTTAAAAATTTATGAACCTCAAAAGGATATTTGTATTTTTTTTACAGGCCATGTTTATACCATCAGCAGAGCCACAGGATACAAGTTATTTCATGAGCCGCTATGTATGGAATCCAGAAGATGAGGATTTTAACTGTGGAAGTGACTTTGATGATCATGATTTGACAGATACTTGCAGCAGTAGTTCACTTAGTAACCAACAAGATGAAGATGTAAGCTAGTTTTCCTGTCTTGGACGTATGCTTTTGATAAACTAAATCATTTCTGTTACCCTATATCTGGTATTTATTAATTGGAAGAATCCTCAATAAGAATTGCCACAATGTCAATAAAGCATATTACTAATGGCAAGGTTTAGGCTATCTATCACCAAGATGATCTCCCGATCAAAGAAAGAAATCCACATCTTTGTTTGGTGGCAACCAAGGATCACGGTTGTCATATTTAACTAATGATACTTACTCATATTGAAACCCCTGGAACAACATTTAAGAATCAAAAGATGCACACCATACATGGTGGTATGAATCTCTTAATCATACTCCTCTCCCCCGGTTTGATTGTTAAAATCAATATAAATCCATTATGTCTTTGAGATTGTTATATCCTCCAGTTTGATTGTTTTGATGTCATTGATACAGGGAGACGAATGTGGCAGTTTGGCTGACTTCGGTACATCATCAGCCCTTTCTGTGAAGTATTCGTTCAGCAATTTCTCTTTCAAGGTAAGGCGTGCTAGGCCTAGACCTTTTTTTCTTTTTCCATCGAAGATATTTGCGTGGTATATTTCATTCAATGAGGTGAAGAGAATAATTGTGGTTTATAAAGAATCCAGCATTCTCACGAATATTGGAAATGGACTTCTTTAAGGTACATAAACAGCAGAGAATAATAATTAAATGAATCCAAATGATTTCTCAGAAATTATAAGTTCTATACAAATTTTATTTTCTATCATTATATTGTTATGACATCCATTCTGTTGGGTTGAAAGTGAGATCAAAATATGATGCAGAAACTTCATTCTTCTGCAGAATTTATCACAATTGGCTTCCATCAATTATGACTTGGTGGTGAAGAGCAGTCAAAACTCACCAGATGTATCCAAGCCATCCATTCCTTGAAGCTAATTCACTACAAGTTTGGCTGCTTCATCATCCTTTGCTTCCAAACAACTGGTAAGAATGAAAACTTGGCATCACTTTTAAGCTTCTTTTGTTTTATTGCTTAGCGCAGCTCTAGTGGGGTATTTAACCCTCTTGTATTATTACTGTCAGGTAATATGTACATTAAAAGCATAGTAATAGTTCATTTTCAGAATTGTGTAAATATATGTTCTAGTGTAAATTAGGGAGATGTATTTTCATGACTCATGTGGATCTCTGAATATGTTTTTTAAAGTACTAAAATTCAACTCTGTACAGAGTTTTCTGAACCCTTTAAGTCTTTGAAGATGCTGCATTTTCTCAATATGCTGTTTGTTTGAAGGATATTGTTCAATGGAGACGGCTGATAATCAGTTTCTGGAATTGTGGATAAGTGTATAGGTAATGCATGAGAAGTTCTACAGTTTACATTCATTCATTGCATATTTTATCATATGCTGGGTGATACCAAGAACAAGAATTCATCGATATTGTCTGACTTAGTCTATTACATATTGTCATCAGTTTCACAGTTTTAAAATGTGTTTGTAAGGGAAAGGTTTCCACGCCCTTAGGAATATTTTGTTCCCTCTCCAATCGATATGGGATTTCACAATCCACCCCCATTGGGGGCTCAGCGTTCTCGCTGACACACCGCCCAATGTTTGGCTCTAATATCAATTGTAATAGTCCATACCCACTGCTTACAGATATTGTCCTCTTTGGCCTATTACGTATCACCATTAGCTTCAAAGTTTTTAAATCGCGTCTACTAGGGAGAGTTTTACACACCTTTATAAGAAATGTTTTGTTTTCTTCTTCAACCAATATGAGATCTCACATATATCCTACCCTACTGCCCTCCATCGAGTTCGTATGTGGAGAATGGTTTATTTGGTATCAAATGCGACGTACGAAAAAAAAAATAGAACATCTTTCCAGAGTAATAATATCATGTACGGTAAATGGTAAATGTACGAGTATAATGTAATAAAAATCTGCTACCGTTACTAACGGAATAGGTAACAAAGCAATTGAGGCTATTCTAACATGGAAGGTATTTAGCCATTGTTTCTTGTTTTTTTTAAAGAAAAAAAAAATCATTTTGGTAATCACCTGTCTCTTGTTTTCTGAAATTTTAAATTTAAAATGGTAACATTTATATGAAATTAAAATTTTAAAAAACTTAAGTAATACTTTTATTTATGTTTTTGGAAAAAGTAGGAAAAAAAAAACAAAAAATAGGAACGCATACGGTTCTTAAAAACGGGAAATTCCAAACAACTCCTTAAAAACATGTCTATCTTATCTTCACCATAACCGCTAGACATGCCTGCTCCCACTCGCTAACGTACCATTACTTTATTTAACAACCAATTCCAAAATCCATAAATGGTATGATAGACAAATAGTCCATTCTCACAATTGTGTCGGTTTCTGTAACCTTTTTAAGCCCGTTCATACTACTTTCGGTTTTAGTTCAATTTTATTCATATAATTTTAAAACATTCATTTTTATCTTTATACTTTTAGTCCTTTCATTTTTATTTTATTGAAATATTCTTATGACACTTCATTCACTAACATTTATAAAATATAGTTATCAATTTATATTAAATTACTCTATTGGGTATAAAATTTAAATTTTGCTAATGAGTATTAAAATGTTTAGGAACAAAAATGATCGGACTATCTCCACAAACTAGCACGGAGTTTTTTTAGTTTTTTTTTCTTTCGTTCTAAAAAACATGTGGGTAAAGACAAAATATGTTATAAGAATTTGTGTTGGTCTATAAGGTTAGTCATTCACTTTTGGATCTCGTTCAAAATAAGTAGCTAATATAGACATATTGCACGGGATGCAACGAAATGCCGAGACTCTGAATCCGAATTTTGAACATAAGGCATTGCACACATACATGCAAGGTATACATTCGGCCTTAAGAATGAAGTCACATGACTAGCATTTTCCCTGATATTCCGGTTTCGGTTGAAATTTGTCTTATACCTTAAAATATGGCTTTATATGGGTGGCATTTAAGTTATTTCTCCAAACTTGGGCACAAAACATTCAAAAATTAACAAATTCCTATCAAGATTATTTACTTTTTTTAAAAAACTAATTTTTAGAGTTAAATAACCCTCGTAAACGAGAGTATTTCTTCAACATTTTGTTCAGTTTTTTAGGACTACACCCAATTCTCGACTACCGGGGCAGGTTTTAAGAAAATTTCAGGAGAAAAAAATACAAACGTTTACCGTCACTTAATAATTATTTTTCTCACTGTTCTCTCTAAAAAAAAGGACTCGCAAATCACTCTACAAAAGACTCGAAACTCTTCTCGATCTTAATTAAACAACACGAGACTTCATTATTAGACGAGCTAGGTTATATGTTTTAAAATAGGCCAAAACATTGAGTTAATGTTCCCCAACAACTATCTTTGGTGTGTCCAATCTTCCTACCATGCACACAAAAACAATTTACCCTTACAAAGTCAACCAACATCTTCATGTCTTATTACCTATTTTGCCCTTAGGTTGATGTAATTACTAAGGCTATTATTGACTTTTACACATGTTTGCTAAGAGGATTTTTCCGATTTCGGGCCAGCACCGACTATGTCCATGATTGGAATAAAAATTCGGTACTTGATGATTCAAACATTTCTTTAAACCTCTGCGACATGACCGTGTTAACTATTTGTCTTAAATAGCTTCTAAGAGTGAAAACTATATGCTCAAAGCTAAACACTTCACTTTGGAGTTCTTAAATTTTTTATTCTCTTAAAATTCTCGAGCCTATTAAACCTAACCGTGGTTAGGGTTTAGAATATTAAGGATTTGGGTCCTTTGGTATATTTATCCTCCGCGTCGTTGCTTCCAATGGGAGCCTAAACCATGTCGTAGTTGTAGCCATGGCTATTCATCTTATTGTCGATGGGATATGCGGAGGGGAAATGGTATTACTAACCACAAAATTTGGTACTCAATTTCCATTTCTTTGCGCTGTTTATTTCATTGAAGGATCTTTTGATCGCATTTACATTTCTGAATCTCATATCTTTCTGCGCAAACATTTTCTTAGCAACAATGTTCTTGTAAAGTTTCGCATCTTTCTGTAGAGTTTGATTTCATGTTCAATTCCAAAATAGAAGCTAGAAATTAGAGTAGGATGAGAATGAACTGAATCGCTGGGATGTTTTTCAGTCTTTTTCTCCCATGCCCGCCAACTGTTTGTTAAAATTCCCAGAAGAACCCAACTCGCAATCCTTGTCTCCAAGGTCCTTGTAGTAATCCAGCAACTGATTCAAGCTATCCTCTGAGGAATGTGGTCCAAAATCAGTGTAGGATTCACTGCCCCATGTTGAGAAATTGGACCATGAATCATCTTGAAGAGCCTCCATCCAAATTTGGCTTGTTAATGGCTGATCTTTTGCAGGGAAATTAGGTTCTGATAATGGAGATATGGCGGCTGAGGAGGAATCAGTGGAGCTTCCTTGGCTGCTGCTCTCTGTCTGTGGCTTCTGCAAAGGCTGGTGTGTAACAGGATCTATCCCCATCTTGATGAGCTTCTTCTTGATGTGGGTGTTCCAATGATTCTTGATCTCGTTGTCTGTTCTTCCCGGTAATCCAGCCGCAATCTTTGACCATCTGAGACGGAAAATTATTCATGATTAAGCAAAAAATGAAACTCATGGTGTGAGTTGTTGTTAAGCTACCTGTTGCCAAGGCGAGCATGGAGGTCGATGACTAATTGTTCTTCAGCTTCATCAAGGAGACCGCGCTTCAAGTCGGGTCGGAGGTAGTTGGTCCATCGGAGACGACAGCTCTTACCGCAGCGACGGAGGCCAGCAAGCTTGGGGACAGCCCTCCAGCAGCAAGGGCCATAGGAGAGAATGAAGGTGAAGAGCTTGTTGTCTTCTTCAGCAGTCCATGGGCCCTTCTTGACACCAAGTTTGTCACAGCAAGGCTGCCTTCCCATCACTACAAATACCAAAGGTAGAGCTTTAAACTCAAATTGTGATCCCAAAAGGCCTCACTTCACCCACCATTTTATACCTCTAACTCGCCTTTTTCTTTCTCATATACCCCTTTGTCCTTGTGCATGTGCTATACATGTGGGAAAGAGAGAGAACAAAAACCCCTAAAAAACTCAACTTCCCTTCCTTCTTAGCACAAAAAGTAAGAATTATTTAGTTGAGATAATGAAGGGTTAATGGTATTATTTTCCTTTTGTTGCTGCATGAAGACAACTTTTGGGTTAAAGTGGAGAACAAACATTTCAACCGAGGCATTTTGAAACCGTGAGGTTGTTGATGATACGTAACAGGAAAAGCAGACACTATCTACTAGCGGTGGGTTTGGGCTATTACAGGTACGAGTAAACTCTTCTCATTTCCATCACTGCCACCTATTTTTAATCTCGGGAATCCAGTTTTCCGAAATTTCTCCGTTTTTTTGTTTATTTTAAACCACAATAATTATATAGATATGTCTATTTAACCCATAAGGTTGGGACTTGTCCCACTACCGGTATAAATGAAGAATGACGAAGGAAATAGGGAGAAGTTTTTTCTGGTTGACTAAATAGGATCATGGACAAGGAACATACCTCGTCTTCGCCCCAATTCTCTGTCATCCCCTCGATAATTCTCAATATAAATATTTAAAGAAAATGGTATAAAATATCTTAATAAAAGTAATAATATTTCATAACTTTGAATTAACCTAATTTCTTTAAAAAAAAAAAAAAAAAAAAAACTAATTTTTAATATTTTAATAGTCTTTTAACTCAACCAACCTAATTTCTAAAAATTCAAATTTCAAAATAATTTTCAACCATTTATAAAAATAATAGTAATGATAAATAAATAATTGGGGCGGATATAGGGACGAAAACTATAATCAAGATGTAGAAAACTCTCCCTCTCCCGTACCCTGGTGATTTTCCACTCGATTTGGAGTGAGTCTACACGAATTCGATGGATATTTCTAGTTTTGTTATACCTTTAATAAATTTTTGTTCCACTTTATTAATTATTATAAAAGAATGCAAGGTAATTTTCTTTACAAATTTAAAAGAAAGAAAAAAGAAAAAAAAAAGTCACAAAATAGCGATGCAATAAGGTCATGCAAAGGCTACCCTCTAAGAAGTCGGTTTCATGTTCATTGAAAGACTGTGATCCTTTCCTTCCCCTTTCTCTTCTCTTCTACATTTTTTTAACCTCAAAATTATGGCTTCCAATTTCTTCCTCGTATCATATCGTTTGTCCCTAAGTTTCGTATCAATATATGACGTGAATCCTATTTTCCTTTATATCGATTTTTTAAACAAATTTAATAAAAATAGTGCATAAGATTTGGAATCTGAATTCTATGCCTGATGGCCCCGACATTCCCTACATTTAGGGCCATATTTACTTACTCTTCATGTCTAAGAGTGAAGTCTATTCCCACAGGCCAACATGAGTCCTTCCATGATACTTTTTCGTTACTCAAGAGTTCACAATTCATATAAAATTGTTCCAAGCTAAACACGTTTAAGTACGAAGTTTCGATAATTGAGCTACTGAAAAGAAAGGTATGACTTTCAATTCTTTTAAACTTTTCTTAGTTATTTTATCCTCATAATCACTCTCATTCACGTGTGATCCTAATTCATTCATACAACTCAATTTAAGAAATTAGACTATGATTTAAATACTGAAATCCTTATCTGATTCTTGTTTTTTAGAACCCCCTCCTGTTTCCCTTTTGACGGTTGAATCTTTCAATTCACTGTTATATCCTTTCTCGCCCTGATACTCGAGTGAAGGACCCCAACGAAGCCTGGGGAGCCCGAACCTTCCTTTATACACTGAAATTTTTTTAAGGGACTCTGACTTATTGTTTACCCTAAAGATCATCAATCGCCCTAATGACCCGAGCAAGCCAAAGCCAAAAATAAGGAAATTAAAAATAAATAAGAAAAGAGATGAAAGCTTATATGGTGGGCTTTGGTAAGTGGGCTGGCCCAAGTTGGTGCACATAAACCCTATGACAATCCTTTTAAAGTTTAATATTCAACTTTTTAATCTAAAAATTACATAAATTCAACTCAACTCAATTCAAAAAACTTCATACCGGAATTTAAGCTTTATAATTTGAATCGAGCTATTCGGGTTATTAAAGTATCAGGTTATTTAAATGTACCTAATATAAATTTTCCTCCATTTTAGAATAAAGCTTGCGAGATGACCTTATGTGCTAGAGGTGTTTGTGGGTTTAGAACGTTTTTTTTAGACCGAACTCAATTATTCGGATTATTAAATTTTCAATCCAAACACCCCTTATTAAATAAAGTTCACCCGATAAATACCTCGATAATTCTAGCTGATCTTTATATGTTTCAGCTCCTAAATGATCTTTTTTGCTATAACTCGAACACATGATCTACGTTCGTAAAAATTTAAATACTAATGTTGGATGATGAAAGTCCCACATCGGTTAATTTAGGGAATGGTCATGAGTTTATAATCTAAGAATACACTCTCCATTGGTATGAGGCCTTTTGGGGAAGCCCAAAGCAAAGCCATGAGAGCTTACGCTCAAAGTGGACAATATCATACCATTGTGGAGAGTCGTGTTCGTCTAACATGGTATCAGAGCCATGCCCTAAACTTAGCCGTGTCAATAGATTGGCAAATCCTTAAATGTCGAACAAAGGACTCCAAAAGGAGTCAAGCCTCCTCGAAGGTACGAAGGCAGTCAAAAATGACTAAGACTCCAAAGGAGTCGAGCCTCGATTAAGGGGAGGCGTGCTTTGTTCGAGGGGAGGTGTTGGATGATGAAAGTCCCACATCGGTTAATTTAGGGAATGGTCATGATCTTATAATCTAAGAATACACTCTTTATTGGTATGAGGCTTTTTGGGGAAGCCCAAAACAAAGTCATGAGAGCTTACGCTCAAAGTATTATTATGGTGGAGGAATCCTATTACTTTATGGTTGGGTCTTTAGTATTGTTTTTTTTATTTGCTTTAATCATTATGGATTTCTTAATCCCTTCGTAAAGTTTCTCTATTTTTTTTTAAATTAAAAATACAACTTTTATTTCTTTACCTTTCTTTATATTATATTAATTGATATTATTTTTAAAATTTGCTTTTATGAAATATTATTCCTTAAAAATGTAGGCCATGGTATTATTATATCATAGTCTTCAATAGCTTATTTCTATAATAATAATAATAAATAAATAAATAATTCAGGTAGAGTCGATTGAAGATGAGGAATATAATTCTTGTTCCAATCCCCGTTCTTGTTTAACAAACATAGACAAAACTCTCTCGATTCCCTCTCCATTCACTGTGCAAACAAGGATTTCCTGCTCTGTTCAGGGTGAGCACTTGTAGAGCCTCGATTATTTTTATGAGATCCCACATCGATTAGAGAAATGAACGAGTGACAGCAAAAACGCTAGGTCTCGAAGGGGGTGGATTGTGAGATCTCACATCGGTTGAATAGGGGAATTAAGCATTCTTTATAAAGATGTGGAAGTCTCTACTTAGAAGCAGACGCGTTTTAAAAATCTTGAGGGAAAGCCCAAAAAAGACAATATATCTTCTTTGAGCCCCCAATCCACCACCCCCCACCCCCCTCGTAGCCTAGTGTCCTTGCTGGCACACTGCCTCATGTTCAGCCCCCTTTGAGACTCAACCTCCTCGTTGGCACATCACTCGATGTCTGACTCTGATATTATTTATAACACTATTGTCCTCTTTGAGCTTTCCTTTTCGAACTTCCTCTGAGGGTTTTTATCTCATCTCCAACCAATGTGGGATCTCGCAGTTATGCTCGTGTTTGTATCTAATAGGTTCTTAGAATTAAAAAAATTATTCTTTTTGTTTTATTCTATGTGCTTATTTATTTTATTTTGTGGCATTTAAATAATTTTTCTTAATCTAGGGACTTGTGGGCAATATTAATGGAAATGTCCAGTCAAATCCTAGGTTCAAATACTAAATTATTTTATTACAAGTAAATAATTATATTTAATAATGTTAATAAATTAATTATAAGAATTTAATTTTGACTCATTTTTGTAGATTATTAAGCAACAATATTAATAAAATTAAAAAATATATATACATATATAAATCTTTTTAAATTAATAATATCAATAATTTCGTCCATAATTAAATAAAATTAAGACAATTAAACGTGATTTGTCTCGTAGAAAACGACAAAAGTACGAAAGAAAAAGACATAAAACGAGTTTGGCAATTCCCATTACCCCTATCCCAATACTGACAGCTATCTCTCCGGACGCCACCTCACCCACTAAACTCCATTTAATACTCCACGTTACGTCCGTCCCACTTCGTGCGCCGCCTCCTTTAATATATTTTAATAATTTTCGATTTTGCTGTCATCCACGTGGCAGTCTGACGTCATCCCATTCAACGGTTTTTTTCTCTAGGTTTTTAACAGCTGTAACTTCCACCGTCAACTGTTTCCTTTTGTCTCCGATGCGTATTTATTGATATTATTATTTTCCTTTTTCGTAATTATTTCTTTTGCCTAAAATTATTAATTTGTTTTATTAACCTGCAAAAAAAAAAAAAATAATATGGATTTTTCGATAATTGAATTATAGTGTCTAAATATTACTTAATCGGTTTATGATCTTCCGTTAATATAATTGTAAACAATAACCTAACAAATGGGTCAGTGTAATGTCTCACATTGGTTGGAGAGGATAACAAAACACCCGATGTGGAAACTTTTCCCTACTAGACGCGTTTTAAAGTCTTAAAGGAAAACCCAAAGAAGACAATATCTGCTACTGAACGTTTAAATTTGAAGTTTGTTGTAAAGACCTGACCTCTAAAACGTGACTTGGTTGTTGTCACGTGCATGTCATTGATGTTTTTCAAAGTTTAATCAAGTTGGAATAGCTAAAAGATGAAAGCTTTGATCATGATTATCTCGTGGTCATTGTAGTAATTGCTGACAGTCACCTAGGATTTTTCAACCCCATTGTTGGGTCGAAAAATGCATACACATCCAAACAGGATTATCATTGGATTCGATGTTTACTGTCATGGATACAAAACCCGTCGCGTGTTATTGTTGAAGGAGATGAGTTGTATAGTGCATGTAATGTGTTTTTTCCTCAAACCTCCCGAGTTTTCAGTCAATAGACCTAAAATCTTCTTCGATCTCAGTTCACCAAACTCGAAAAACTTAAATTGACGATGAATAAATTATAAAATTTGTTAGCTCAAATATTAATGCAACAAATTTAAATTAATCTCCCAAAGATTAACATTAATTAATAATTAAAATGATAGATTATTTAAAGGGAATAATATATTGGTTAAAATATATTCCAATCTTAGCATTCTACTTCTACCAATGAACGTAAAGATGCCTTTTCTTGCACGCTACCAATAAACGTAAAGATACTTTTTACAGAATAATAATAAATAAATAAATAAATATGAAAATTGTGATAATCTTAATTAACTATTTTATAAATTCATAATTTTACCTTAAATTGTTGGATTTAAAAATAAAATCATTATTTATTTACTTTACCAATATTACCCTCACCGCTTGGGAAAATCAACGGCGGAATTTGTTTCTGACAGAAAGCAACCGGCACTTGTCGGTCGAAATTAATTCAATACGCTGTCGGTTGCTCCATCAGTCGGTAACCAAATTGGACACGTGTCTTTCTCCTCCTCATAAAATTTCCGCCCTTCATTTGCAACTCTTTTTTCTTCATACAGCTCAGCCTTCTTCTTTCTCACTCTAAAACCAATTCTCCCCTGGCGGTGACGGTCACAGTCGCCATTCTTCTCCGGACGCCGGAATTAAACTACTTATTCGTTTTATTCTGATGCTTCCTCTTTCCGGTAACTCCTCGCCGGCGGAGCACCACCCGAAGAAGTTCAAATCGTCCGAGTTGTTCGACAAGAAGAACGCGTTCAACTCGTTGTTACACCAATTTCATCATCAACAATCTCGGCTATGGCTTCTCCTTGTAATCCTCTGTCTCCAGATCCTTCTTCTCTTCACCATTCGCTTCCTCCCTCTCCCTCTCCCACCGGCGCTTTCCTCTTCCACCGACCGCCTCCGTCGCTTCCCCTCCGTCGCCGTCGTCTCCTCCACCGCTAATGATGCCGATGAATGTAGAAACGGCCGGATCTTCGTCTACGATCTGCCGACGGCATTTAACAAGGACATTCTCGAAAACTGCGACAATCTGAATCCGTGGAGCTCGAGTTGTAGAGCTATGGCGAACGGCGGATTCGGACAGAGAGCCGATTCTCTCGCCGGAATCATTCCGGAGAATCTTCTTCCGTCGTGGTATTGGACGGACCAATTCGTGACGGAGATTATTTTCCATAACCGTATTATGAAGCATAAATGCCGTGTTTCAGAGCCGGGATTGGCTACGGCGTTCTATATACCGTTTTACGCTGGACTCGCAGTGGGGAAATTCCTCTGGACGAATTCAACCGTAGAGGATCGGGATCAGCACTGCCGTATGATTCTTAAATGGCTTTCAGATCAGGAGCATTACAAAAAATCCAACGGCTGGGATCATTTCATTACAATGGGACGAATCACATGGGATTTCCGCCGGAGCAAGGATAAGGATTGGGGATCGGAGTGTATTTATTTGCCCGGAATGAGGAACATAACTCGGCTTCTGATTGAGCGAAATCCGTGGGATTATTTTGACGTCGGTGTACCTTACCCCACAGGATTCCACCCCAGGGGCCAGAACGACGTGACGGCCTGGCAGGACTTCGTCCGCACGCGCCGTCGTACGCACCTCTTCTGCTTCGCCGGGGCGACTCGCGCCGCCTTTGGCAACGACTTCCGAGCGGTACTTCTCGATCAATGCCGCAACTCCACGGCGGAGAAATGCCGCGTTGTCGATTGCGCTGGTAGTCGCTGCACCAACGGCACGACGGCGATTCTGGAGACGTTTCTCTCCTCAGATTTTTGCCTACAGCCGAGAGGGGACAGCTTCACGCGGCGGTCGATCTTCGACTGCATGATTGCCGGAGCAATTCCAGTATTCTTCTGGCGGCGGACGGCGTATTACCAGTACGAGTGGTTCTTACCAAGCGAACCGGAGAGTTACTCGGTTTTTATAGACCGGAATGCGGTGAAGAACGGGACGGCCTCCATTGAAGCGGTTCTGGAGAGGTTTAGCAGAGAGGAAGTGAGGGAGATGAGAGAGAGAGTGATCGAGTCAATTCCGAAGCTCGTTTACGGCACCGGCGGCGTCAGAGACGCGTTCGATGTGGCCGTCGATGGGGTTTTGAGGAGGTTTAAAGAGCAAAATGAGTGGGGGTACAAGTGGAAATAAGGAGAAGTAGAGGGGGTAGAAATGCAAATAATGAAAGAAAAGGGGGGAAAACTGTAATCGGTATATATTGTGTGTATGTAGGGAGATTATACGATTCTTTTGGTCCGAATAACAAATGTGGAGGGTAATTTTGATAAAGTTAGGGGAAGGGTATAATTGCAAAATATGAGAAAAGTTGGAATTTTGGTGGGGTCCTTGGGATAATGTTGTATTGTAGCCCAAAATTGGATTTTATTTAGAAAAATGAAAGGCTTGGAATCAAAGCTTTTGGTTTCTATTTCTCTTGAAAGTAATAGAAAATTGTTTATTAAAAATTTTAGGGTTTGGAATATTTAGAATATTAATAACTTGGTGTACAAGTCTTGTAAAGATTTTGTTTTTTTTTTATTTTGTTTCAATTTCTCGATCAAGAAAATACGAGACGACACTCAATATAGTATATGGTATATGATAAAATTGAACATTATCATATGGTATGATAAATACCCGAGTTATTATCATATGGTATGATCAATACCTGGGTCAAATTGAACATTATCATTATTATATGGTTTGGGTATTATTATATGGTTTGATTCATACCCAAGTTAAAAAATTTACTAGTGGGTGCAATCCATTCACGATTAAAGAAGTATATGAACTCAATTGAAACGGAATTTATCCAAAAATAAAAAAAAAATTAAAATCCAAACTTCACGTAAAATTAGAGAGATTTAAATCTCAGACTTCTTTGATGGTTAGTTCGAACGTGAAATTTGAGAGATTCAAATATCTAACCTCTGAGTAGAACGTATATGTCTATTATTTTTTATCATAAATAGATTAATCTAAATTAGAACGAAAAAAAAAAAGATAAAAAAAAAGGAAATAAAGCAATGGGCATAATATTTATATAGGATTTGAGGAAAAATAAACGTGCTTCCATAATTAAATTTTGGGGGTACAAAAGTGAAAAGGGATAATTATTGGTGGTCCTCATAATAATGTGTATAAAGATAGGGAGCATGAGGTGGTAGGTATGGGCCTTGTAATGGGCCCAAAAGGATTATTATTTATTTATTTATTTATTTTTCATTTATGATGTCCTTACCTATCATTTTCATTAAGAATTCAACTTGTTTCAAGTAGACGCGTTTTAGAGATTGATAGCGATACATAACAGGCCAAAGCAGAGGACTAGCCAGACATTGAGCAAACATGCCAAAACAGATAATATTTGCTAACGATAAACTTAAACTGTTACTAATGGTACTAGAGCCAGACATCGGACAGTGTGTTAGCGAGAACACAGGAGGTAGATGGTGAGTTTTTACAACCTTAGAGGTCCCACACCTTTATAAGGTTGTAAAAATCTCTTATAAGGGTGTAGAAAAATTTCTGAGAGGTCACCCAACATTAACCATGAAATTCTTATAATTAAGCTACTGAAAAAAGGAAAGTTCGCCTTATTGATATAAGTAATGACTTTCAATTCTTTTAAGTTTTCTTAGTTACCATATCTTTATGATCGTTCTCATTCGGATGTGATCCTGGTTTATTCATGTGTCCCTTCTTTACTCGGGTGTCACGTTTAATATCTTAACTTGAAGTTTTGAAGGTTAATTAAATTGGTGAGTGGATTTTGAAAAATGGGCCGGGGAGGAGATGATGAGAATATCTAAAAAAAAAAAAATTTACAAGCTTTTTTAAAATTGTGAGGTATGGTTGAAACAAAATTGGGTATTTTTTATTATTTAGTCTAAAATTTAAGAAATTAATTTATTTTGTAATTTTTAATGACAAACTTAGGAGGTGTAACTTGCTTCCATAGCATAGTGGTAGTGCGTTCGCTTCGTAAGCGAAAGGTCGCGAGTTCGATCCTCGCTGGGAGCTAATTTTATTTTATTGAAAAGTACCTCCCAGAAGAAAGGAAATTTTTAACAAAATATTTATATTTTTGAGGGGGGAAAGATATATTTAAATAATCTTTTTTATTTAAAAATTTGTGGCTCCTTAATTTTGTCGTTTTAAATGGTATGACACCTATTTTTTATTTAAAATATTTTTCTAATTTTAAAATTATTAAAATAAAATAAAACTTATAAAAGTCTTTTAATTGTGTTAAGTTAAATAATTAATAAATCTACCAAATACAAACAAATGCCACCAACTTCGTTCTCTATCTCTATAGAAGTGTAAAAACCTCTTCTTAGTAGATGCATTTTAAAGTCGTGAGATTGACAACGATAAATAATGAACATAGAAAATATCTACTAGTGGTGAACTCGAGCTATTACAAATGTTACCACTAGCAAAGATGCTAACCCTCAAAAGGGGATCGATGGTGAGATTTCACCTTGGTTGGAAAGGAGAACAAAACATTCCTCCCTTTATAAAAAAAAAAAAAAAAATCGAGAAAATATCAATAAAAGGTGTGCAATGTTGTATAATTTCATAATGTCGATATCAAACGTATAACTCAAGACATATGCGAGAAAATCGGTGTCCGCATAGAATAATTCCATAATGTCAACTCGTAGTAAAATTTCACAATCCGAGAAACTTAAAAGCTGAAAATAAAAACAAGCCACGTGAAAAATCTGCTTTGTAATCAAAGAAAAATGGCTTAAGTTAGCTCATTACCGACTCCCTCAGCCATACTTTGACACCCTCTGCTCTGCTAAAAGCTTCTCCTCTGTCCTTTGCTCGCTCGTAGAGTTGGGTCTGTGAATTCCTAAGACATCCTTTGAGCTGCTTCCTTGGCAAGGAGCCTCTCCTTTGCTTTGGTTTTGGCCTGTGACTTGGAACCCATGATTCCGCCACCCCACTTCTTCCTGTACTCGTCGTACTTGTCGTTGAAGTTTGCCTAAAGCACGCGTATTAAAAAAGTAAGCTCGACGTAGAGGTACACGACAAGAGTAATATCTATTTTAAATGTGCTAGTCACCTTAATAGCTTCTAGGATCCTGCTGAACTCCATCTTATCTTCGTTCTTAACTGTTGTCAAGCACAAAACTGATGCAGTCTTCTTATGGACAATCTGTTGCAAAAGGAACACTTTTCAAATGACTGTCCCCGGGGTTCAGCGATTCGGAAAACGTTTTTCAGGAAAGGGTTAAAAGGAAAATTGTTACCGCTCCCAATCGTGCTTTTCCCTTCACAATGCAATATGGAATTTCCATCTTCCTGCACAAAGCTGGGAGCCATACAACCAACTCAATCGGATCCACATCATGTGCTATCACAACCAGCTGTGCCTTGTTCTGAAAATAAAGTACGTTTTGTATTGAAGTTACAGAAAACATAGCAGTTGGAAAGAGTGAAGATTTTCGCACGTATGAAATAAACGAACACCTGCTCGATGAGGTAGGTAACATGGTTGAGACCATATTTAATGACGATAGGCTTTTTGGCATCATGTGATTTGCCTTCAGCCTCTTCCTGAGCTCTTTTCAAAAGACGCTCCCTTTTCTGTGCCTTATCCTCTGGCCTATACTTCAAAAGCATCTTGAACAAGTTTGTTGCTGCAAATGCATGAAAATGAATTCAAAACTAACACTCGTAAACACTTGAAAACAAATACCAAGAAACGTGAAACGTAAAAAACAAAGGACATGATAAACGTCAAATCGACAACACAATCGTTAGAACGTCTAAATCACTCAAAATGCAAGAAGATCCAAGCATTATCAAAGAAACCCAACAAGAAAAACGGTTCAGAGAAGAATCTGGGTTCCAAGAAATTGAAGCTTACTACCAACTCCCAAATAAACTTGCACTGCCAATCAAAGCTAGAATCTCGAGGTAGCCAAACTAAACGTTCAATCAATAAGGTATGGAACTAGTTATTTCTTCTTTTACCATAGCAGAACCTTTCTACACCTCTCCTAAATTAAGTGCAATCATTCAACCTAAACAAATTTCATGCTTCATAAAAAGGAAGAAAGTTCCAGGTTGAAAGAACACAAAGCATAAACCGAAGAGGGACCCAATCCGTAATTAACTAAGCTATACAATGAGGAATCTCGATGAGAATTTGAATGATGATCACAGATATTCGATTTTATTACCAAGATTCTTGTCGAGGGTCTTGGTGAACTGATTCAAAGCTGGTGGAACCTTGAGCCTCTGCTTGAGAATCCTCTTCTTCCTCTGAATTTGAACAGCTTTCGGCCATTTGACGAACCGTGTGAGATCCCTCTTCGGCGGCAATGCCCCACCGATTCCAAATTGCTTCGGACGCTTCTCAAATAGCGGGTTCACAACCTTCTCCTGCAAACAATCGGATTCTGTGTTAAACCAAAGCAACGAGGAAATGAAACAACAAATTCGCGTCAAGGAAAAGGAAAACAAACAATCGATTTACCGGCTTCTTCTTCGCCAAAGCTTTTCCAACAGCCTTCTTCGGTGCCTTTCAAAAGCACAAGAAGAACAAATCAACAAACATTGTTCGCGTTAAAATGCAAAGAAATTGCATCACTATGAGATTGACCCAAATCCAAAAGTAAAGAGATTACATATCAATAAAACGAAAAATTTAGTATCTAAGCAATTGATCCATAGAGGAATTGAACGGGAGAGAAGGAGAGGGTACCATTTTTCGCGCTGCAATAGGGCGGGGTGAAGTAGCTGCCGCTTCAGTATGATGCCTGCTAGGGTTTTATTAGGTTGGCAAGTACACACAGTGATGAACAAGACCGACCAAGGTTTTCTCTCTCTAATTTATTTAAATTTAATTTATGTAAACTTTAAATTTTAAATTTAGATTTTAATAAATTACAAATTTAGAGAAATTAAATTTTTGATAAATTTGTAATTTAATGTTTATTATTTTTAATTTTACGTATAATATGATTCTAATCTTTTATTCCCGTGGTATTTACATTTTTTCTTTAATTAATGATCGTCTCTTTAAAGCTTAGGAGATAAAGGTTACTCGTAAGTAAATGCACCCTTTGAAAGTCCTTGGTTCAAATGGTTTTCCGATATTATTCTACTAGGAATACTGACACGTGGTAGGTGGAGATGTTACGAGAGCATGCATCAATTGCTTAAACGAGGGTATTCATTTGAAACGTCTTAATCACATGACCATAGTCCTCGTTTTGACGGGCAAAGAACCCACGGTGGTGATTGACAGAGTCGAGCATACTCTTGGTCGGTCTTGTGAATATCTCCATCATACTAAAACTGTTCTTCTAATAAGGGTTTTGCTTCGTTACAATTATATGTGTGCAAATCGTAAGATAGGGTAAAATAAAAGTTTATTTGTTACAAATTCATATAAAATGACGAATATACTAAACCTCCACATGAGTTCGAGATAGGAAACCCCTATATCTCCTTATCTGTGTCGTGGGTTTGACTAGCTTTCTCGAAAAAGTTGAAATTTTGAGTAAGAACTCGAGTATTCATGTTGCTCGTATTGCTCACGTTGTGACTTGCCTTTTTCTTCGGTGATGATAGCCCTTAGTTCCTTAGAGCAAGAACACAATATTTAATGAGACTGTACTGATCTGAAGTATATGAAAAAGTATTTAGTCAAGCATCAACTACGGTAATTTTATTGCTGTGTTTGCTACTTTCGTCGTTGCTGCTAGATGACTATCGAGCTTGCTTCTATTAGACTTGGGTTGGTACTGTTTGCGGACAAAGCTGCATAGGGGATCACGAGACAACCTGAGTCGAAGGACAAAATCAAAGTTACTTTATTGTTTAGTCTTTGTTATATTTAAACTTTCTTCGTTTTCTTATATGCACATATTTATGCTATCAATATTAACAATGTCACTGTAGTGTGCAGTCGGTGCGGGTGACGGTGGTACCCAAATCACATTCAAAAAATATTAAATTTATTAGAAATCTATTAAATAAAAAAAATTAAAAGTTTATAAATTAAATTAATTTTATTATTTAAAAAATTTAAAATAAATTTATAAATCAATTAAAAATAGTTTCATTTTTAAAAATGGTCTAACATGTTCTTAACCTATTAAATTTTTTAAAAATTCAAAATTAAATAAAGAAATAAAAAATATTATGACATTTATAAAGAAAATACAAACCTGAGGCATTCCACCCTTCATACTGTGTTGAAGAGCCTCCTCCAAATAAAACCCTAAAGCGGCGGCCACTTCCTTTCACCTCGCTCTCCTGCCGCGGAAAAAATGGTACTCCTGTCGTCTCTCTTTCGTTCGATTCCTCTATGGATCAGTAGCTTAGATACTTCGTTTTTTCGATTTATGGATATGTAATTTCTTTACTTTTTGTCTTGCATCAATCTTATAGTGATTCAATTGCTTTGCATTTGAACGTGAACAATGTTTGTTGATATGTTCTTCTTGTGTTCTTGAAAGGCACCGAAGAAGGCTGTTGGAAAAGCTTTGGCAAAAAAGAAGCCGGTATATCGATTGTTTGTTTCCCTTTACCATGATGCGAATTTGTTGTTTCAGCTCTTCATTGCTTTGGTTTAACACAGACTCTGATTGTTTGCAGGAGAAGGTTGTGAACCCGCTATTTGAGAAGCGTCCGAAGCAGTTTGGAATTGGTGGGGCATTGCCGCCGAAGAGGGATCTCACACGGTTCGTCAAATGGCCGAAAGCTGTTCAAATTCAGAGGAAGAAGAGGATTCTCAAGCAGAGGCTCAAGGTTCCACCAGCTTTGAATCAGTTCACCAAGACCCTTGACAAGAATCTTGGTAATAAAATCGAATATCTGTGATTGTCATTAAAATTCTAATCGAGATTCCTTTCATATGATTAGTCAAGAGATTTTTAATCAATTGTTAGGTTTTAGATGGTCATCATTGAATAGTTTAGTTAATTACGGTTCTTATTCCTCTTCGGTTTTATGTTTTTTCTTCTTTCAAGCAGGTACTATCTCCTTTATAATTAAGTATGAAATTTATTAGGTTATAGGACCGATACGCTGTACAAATGCATCTAAATTAGGAGTGTTGTAAAAGGTTCTGCTACGGTAAAAGAAGAAATAAGTAGTTTATTACCTTATTGGTTGACAGTTTGTTTTGCTACCTTTTTGATTGACAATGCAAGTTTTTAGGGAATTGCTAGTAAACTTTCTTGGAACCTAGATTCTTGTCTGAGCCTTTTTTCTTGTTGGGTTCTTTGAATTATGCTTAGATTTTCTCACATTTTGTTATAAATGATCCTCTTTAGATAACCTATTTTATACTCTTTTGGTTTTGAATGAAATGTTAGTTAGTTTTTTATTTATGATATTTCTACTTAAAATTTCTGATTTGATCGTTTGGAAAACTGTATTAGTTTCGGACCAGATTCGAATGAATTATTCTGGTCACCTTGTATGTAGTTTTGGGTCAATTTGACGTGAATCATGTCCATTGTTTCTTGGTATTTGATGTAAAGTGTTTAGAGTGTTTGTTTTAAATTAATTTTTATGCATATGCAGCAACAAACTTGTTCAAGATGCTTTTGAAGTATAGGCCAGAGGATAAAGCACAGAAAAGGGAGCGTCTTTTGAAAAGAGCTCAGGAAGAGGCTGAAGGCAAATCACACGATGCGAAAAAGCCTATCGTTGTTAAATATGGTCTCAACCATGTTACCTATCTCATTGAACAGGTAGTCTTTTATTCCATACAAGCAAAAATTCACTCTTTTCATCTGCAATGTTCTCTGCAATCAGATACTCCCTGTATTTATAGCCGCCATCTAAAATGTACTTTCTTTCTTTCCAGAACAAGGCACAGCTGGTCGTGATTGCACACGATGTGGACCCAATTGAGTTGGTCGTTTGGCTCCCAGCTCTGTGCAGGAAGATGGAAATTCCATACTGCATTGTGAAGGGAAAAGCACGATTGGGAGCGGTAACTGTCTCTTTATTCGACACAACAATGTCTACTCCTTCGAATCCATGGATCAAACCTTTTGTAATTTTGGCTTTTTAATAACAGATTGTCCACCAAAAGACTGCATCAGTTTTGTGCCTGACAACTGTGAAGAACGAAGATAAGCTGGAGTTTAGCAGGATCCTGGAAGCTATCAAGGTGGTTTGGTTTACACTATATAAACATAACATATAACGCCCAGATAAGACCTCTGGATTTGACTTGTATGTTGTTTTGTTATATGTTAGGCTAATTTCAATGATAAGTACGACGAGTACAGGAAGAAGTGGGGTGGCGGAATCATGGGTTCCAAATCCCAGGCTAAAACTAAGGCAAAAGAGAGGCTGCTGGCGAAAGAAGCTGCTCAGAGGATGTCTTAGGTATCAGAATTGTGTTCTTTTATGATAACTTGCAGAATTGTTGTCTGATTCTTTTTGGTTGTTTAGCTTACTTATATGCTTCTTCTAAGGCTGAGAACTTCTTGTTGTAGTGCTCTGTCCATGTAACCCTCTATTTATCTTAGATTAACTTTGAATGCTATCAGTTTGTCATTTCTAATGCTCTCTGCCCATCCCATCCCATCCCATAAGACTAGAATGGTATTTCAGGCCTTTAGTTTGTAGGCCCTTATTGCATTTCTTTTCCATATTCTTAAAAAATTTGGAGAATATCAAATTATAAATGATTGGTGTTTTAGTATTTAAATTGTAATGAACTAGTATAATATTGGGCAATCTTTATACGGATTGAAATGTAAATTAAAGGTTGTTTGTATTGGATATTTTTATTTTTGTAAATAACATATTTTAAGTAATATTTCTTGGAAAACTAAGTACAATTGCTAGCAATTGGGAGCGTGCAACCATTGGGAATTCATTCGCCCCAAGTTGCCGAGCCTCCGTTTTTTCTTGAAACTATGCATATGAAATGTATAGGGAATGGGTGAAATTATCAGCGAAATCCGAAGGCAGGGGCGTGTCTTAGGTTAATCTTAACTCGAGGGCACAAGGCATGAGGGTAAAAGATATCGGGAATGAAATTAAGGCATAAAAATGAGGTTGAGACGTGAGGCGTAATGCATAAAGCATATGAAATGGGGTGAGAGGCCTTAGACATGAGTTATCAAGTGTTCTTATTGTATTAAGAAGATAGTATGTTGTGATTTTCATGCACGTAGATAGGCAAGATGATGATACAAATTTCAAGACTCGATCGAAGTGAGTAATAGCGTGAAAAATGTCTGAGACCTAAGAATAAAAACCTCCAATCTAATTAAATGTATTTTTTTACTAAGCTTATTTTTTCTGAAGTGTTGATAACATACGTTATATTAACATATTTATATTAAAATGGTATAATCAAATGTTTTGAAATATTAAAATTATTTAAAAATTATCTAAAAGATTAGACAATAAATATAGGGTAAATGTGACTATTTTCTAACACAAAACAAATTTTAAAATCATTATTGTTTTCTTATAAAAAGGTAAAATTCTAAAACACAACAAAATTTTAAAAGTTTTTACAACTTAATTTGAATTTAAAAATATTTGAAAAATTAAGTAAAAAAAAAAAAAAAAAAAAACCCATAGTGAGTGTAGGCTTAGACATGTTGGAAATAAAATTTTAATTGGTTGAATATTATATTTATAAAATATTATTACTTTAAATTTGTCCATTTAAAAGTTTTTTATTTTATTTTTTATTTTATATAAAATGGAGGAAAATATTTATAGGGATGAAAGTATAATATTTAAAAATGTTGTTAATTAAATTTATAATTTTTTTTTTGTAAGGGAAAGCAAAACATATGAGGAAAACGGCGGTGAATTTTAGAAGG